GCTCAGACAAGTGCAGGTACCATGCTCTGCATAAGTTATGATGTGGGGTATGTATTTCACAGCTTAATCATCTTTGGCTCTTAAAAAGTAAGTCGTGCACAGCATGAACTGTAAAACTATACCAGCAAAAGTGTTTCTTGGTGTTCTAAACAATATTTAAAAGTAATTCAATAAAAAAACATTTAATGGGAGCAAGGGGCAAATGGGATAGGAGCCTTAACAATATTAACAGGTTTGTACAAACAGCCACGTCCACCCAAAAGCATAATCAAATAAAGCGATAGTTATGTTATAATCATCAATACAGAAAGTCTCTCTGCATGCTAGGCCTTTGTATTTATGATACAAACCTCTGCACCAGATGTAAAATCTGGCTCCCCTTTCCTGTTCTGTACCTGGCTGCCACTTGCTTATGATTTGTTTTCTGCCCATGTGCAATGTAGCAGATTAGCAAGGAGAAATCTAAACTCTAATCTGTGCATCATTAACTGTATTCACTCCTGCAATGTTAGCTTCTTTTGTAACTTGCATTTCTCATAAAAAAAAAAGTTTGTAAGACCTCGCATTAAATGCATTTGAAAATAGACATTCAGATGTTAGTTGGCAAGGGCAGATGAAGTGCAATCAAGACATTTGTCTTTATGACAGTATCCTGCCAATCTAAACCCGGACAATGCCACCCCAGCATCTTTCTTGTTACTGCTCAGTATTAAATAAAGCCTCCATGGTCCACCTCACACCACTTAACTGGCACGAGTATGAATTACTGTAGCAGGTGGGCCAGTGTGGTTTTAAAAGCAATGTAATACAATCAACTGTACAATATCAGATTTCAAGGAACGCAAAAGACATCTAGAGCAGAGGCTGATCCTTAAGCAATCCTAATATTGGCATTAAAGTGTTCAAGATCCCACAGGGACCATTTTATCTTTTGACCCCAGGTTTTAATTGAAACCTTAAACAAAATATATTACCTATTTAATGCAGCTGAGCTGGACTCTGGCCTTTGTAGTGCATGTTGCCATGCCAAGCAAATTAATCTGTGTAACCTTAGCATGTACTTTTTAATTTACATCAAAGAAATATGGCATAGAGAAAATAAATACCAAGCCAACCCTGTACAGCTTGTTGAATAATTATTTTTATTCTAGTTTTAGAGTTTTAATTTTTAGCTCGTTTTGGTGCTTTTAACAAAAAAAAAAAAAAAAAAAAAGAAAAAGAAGGTTTTACTTCTTGGTACAAAGCCAGAGAAACATATGGTTTCCTTAGCTGAGTTGTTGCACACCTGGCAAAATAAATCACAGCAACAGGAGACCAAAATCCACCCTGCAACTTTTCATATGCACAAACTTAGAACATCTGATGCTGGTCTTCTGGTCCTGCCTTTCGTACCGTGAATAAAATGCAAAGTCAAAAGGCTGGCTTGCTTCTTGAGGCCAAATACTTCTTTTTCCTTTAAGAGGCAAGTTACTTAGAGTTTTAAAGGATGAGAGTCAGCCGGGCAGAATGGCACACCGAAGAAATGAGTCACTGAGCCTGTCAGAGCAAAAGGCCAGTAGAAGCAAGGGTAGGAAAAGAAGTGTAACACAAACAGGGAAAGCAGGTGGTGTAAAGGCTTAACACTGCTGGAGTGTTAATGCTACCGCACCCCGAGCGCTGGAGTTCAAACCCTAATGCAGTTTAAACAGTTCGTCTCCTGTTTATTCTCCTTCGCGTATGTCATGTACATCATACAGGGAAAAAAGGCTGCAGAAAATCTTCAATTAAATGATTGAATAATTATTAAAAATTAGAGAAAGCACTGTTTTCTTACACCACATGCCAATATCTAACACCGAACCAAGCAGAGCAATTGCCAGAGACTCAGAATACATCAATCACAATGACAACTGCAGCAGATAATCCTCAAAACGTGTTCTTGGATTTCATGATAAGCCGTGAAGACTTTTTCCACACGTGGGGATACAGGGAAGGACCCTTCCTCCCTGAGAAGATGGGGAGCGCTCCCCAATTTCTCCCCCTTCCTCCCCAGCAATGAGCACACAGTGAGTGGGCACAGCTCAGAGTCAGGTTCATGCGGTTCCAAGCACACGAGACAGGACTGGCCTATTTCAGTTCCTCCAGTCTCCTTTTTAAAAGCAAGAAGTAGGCAGACAAGTTTATGTAATGCTGTTTATCAAAGAAAGTGTTATAGTGAATGTGTTTATAATTTTATCTTGAACATCAAAACAGAAATAAACAATCTGGTCAGCCTTCTGGTGCCCAATGACGTAGTATGAGCTGCAGAGCGGATGCACTCCTGATAATGAATGTGGATGCTTTGTTCTCCCGTCGCACCCAATGCAAAGAGATGACTGAATAGGTGTTTAGGATTTACCTCACCCAACTTGAGCTAGCAAGTCTAAGCTAGTCATCTCAGCTCCTTTTACAGGAAAAGTATGCTTGCAGGGGATTATTTGTATAATCTAAAAGAGATGCCTAAATCAGACGGGCTTAATTACTCCCCAGAGGTGTCTTCTTTCCACACTATAAAGAGAGCACAACTACTGAGCTCTGCCTTGTCATCTAACCTTTACACTATTACAGGTAGGAGAGACTAACCTAATTCAACATGTCTAACTGCAATCATGTACGCTCATGGGCAGATGCTTCCAGGCCAGCTTTAAACAAACCAGCCTGAGTCCTACTGTTAATAATGCTGCACCGCGTTCAATTGCATCGCTACCCTACTCTGTGTGTAGCCTCTTGGATTGCCTTTGCAGCATAGTCACAAGCCACACCTCAGCAAGTAGTGTGAAGCAAATTCTGGTTTCCCTGCAACAGCTGCCATCACAACGGCAACCAAAATACAAATATATGCTACGTTCAGGGTAAGTTGTACTTTACAGAGCTCCATAACAGCCTGTTGCTCTTTGCAATTCACTGAAAGGGGCTAAGGTAAGCTCAGCTGACCCTAACTTGTTATGTCGTTAGGGCATCCGTGAAGTGCCGGTGGCTGCCTAAAGGAAACAGAAGCCAGAGTATGGGCTACACAGTGGAGGGAGGAAGTGTAGCAGCAGCCAAGCCCGGGCAAAGGACTGAGCCGGTCTTTGTGCTCACTATTGCTTTGTGAGTTAATAAATGCAAATCCCAGGAACAGAGTGAACTGGGACGTCATGGACTGTGCTTATAAAGGAAGCTGAGAAAGGCCTCCTGAAACTGAAAAAGTAACCAATAAGCAAAAAAGTGAAAAACTAAAGAATCTTAAAGGTCATAATGGTTCTAAAGGGAGTGTCTATTCACGGGAAAAGAAAGGGTGATACAGGCCTGTTTTGTAATGGAACAATCATCGTTCTAGGAACACCATTGGTTTACTTTTTCCAATTTCTGTACTTCTGAGCGCTTTTATCAGAATTATGAAATATAAATTTGCAATAAAGAGGGCAGTAAACTTTGGAGGGTTTGCTGGAGCACTGCAGTACTTCACCAGTCACTATAGGACACCGATAGTAAGCAGAGGCTTAATTCACGGAGTGCTGAGTGTTGATAACCCCACCAAATTTATCGGTAAATGCTGATAGATAAAACTGGTAAAACAACAATTCAGCCAAGAGAGTCTACGAACAAAAGTACATGTAATAACCAACTTGTGCGTTTTAGGGGGTTTTGCCATTTGCATTGATCTGATAAAGCTCAGCATTCAGGCAGAAGTAATTCTCCATTGAACTGTACGAACTGTTAAGGAAGTGTTTATACTATTATTGACTTTAGATACTTTGCCACTGTGACAAGAAAAGTACTTAATTTAGCATTTACAGAGATTTGCAAACACGTACTAGCAGTTACAATTACAATTTTAAATATTTTTTTTCTATGCCCAAGTACTTGTAAGGAGCTAATAAAAGATGCTGTTCCTAAATAAATAGTGAGTGGTGCCTCCTTTCAACAACTGTGTCAAACCAATTGGTATGAACCAATACATTCCCTTGTATTTTAGGCATTGGGAGGGGAAATAAAGCCAAAACCCCCCACATGATTCCTGTTGATCCTGTTTCTACATATATATTTAATTGCTCTACTTTTTGAACTAATTTAAAGGCATCTTACATCCTTTTCTGTCCCAGACAGGAGCTCAGAGTCTACTGGGCCAGACACTGAGGTTGCTTAGCAGAAACACCTGCCCTTTCAGAGAGAATTCCACTTAAAAGCATCTCTGTAACAATGAAAAATCTGCCCTCTTGTTTACAGATCTGAATACTATAAATAATAATCCATATTATCTTCTTTCTTTTATCTGTTTAATGCATCCTGCATAAAGATGTGATGAACACTGTAAGAAGTTGAAGTTAAAGTTTAAAACAACCAACCACCTCAGCTAAATTAATGTTTCTGGCAGTACTCAAGGGAATCTGCTAAAATTTTGAAGGACAGGAAGGCTGGTCCTGGAAGAAGAATTGTCTCATTGCAGATGTCTAATTAACAGTACATCAGCTGGGAAATAAGTTTTTGGCACAACCTGCAAAAAAAATCCAACTATCTCTGTGGGCCTGTTTGGACATCATGTTGGTTTAAAAGGAAATTTAACATCCAACACCCACACTAGATTTTATTTTATCATCAATCTCACTCCATTTTCTATGAAGTAAATACAATTTCTTCTTAGTTTCAAAGATGACTAAATGGGAGAATAAAAAACAACTGTATGACTTGTACACGAGGTCTCCAAGATACTGGATGAGAGAAAAACACTAATCCATGCATTCTAAATGTAAAAGTGCTGCATGGAAACTCTTAAAGATATCCAGTATCTAACAGCTTCATCATTTACTGTGCCTTATCCAGCACTGCAGTTGGTGGCATTTAAGCTCTGAACCTAGTTTGGCTCGCATCTACTGAAGGCAATTATTTTTGTTTTTATTAACTAATTCATTTGAGCACCAGTTGCCTGGCTAAGCTCTTTTGTTTCACCCTGCCTGACTCCTCAAGTATCTTTCTGAAGCACTAACAATGCACTTACTTACCCATCATGTTGTATAAGCTCTGGGATGCAAACTGTCTTGGCATTTTCTGTATTGCTTCTTTGTAAACCGTAAGGGCATCCTGAAAAGAGACACACAAGTGGTATAAATCATTAGTAAGGCACCAATTTCGAAAGCAGTCTTTCACATATAAAGTAAAACCAAACTATCTTCCTTCCCCAAATAAAAGGTGCAGAGGGAAAGAAAACACATCAGCGTCATAAATACCACAGAAAGTTCACATTTCTCATCTACAAAAGCTTTACCAAATTCAGTGAAGCTTATTGACGAGAGATCAAATTAGTTCCAATATTGCATCTCTTTTCCCAGGTGGAAATAAAAGGAACATTTTTTTAAATCCCTCAATGACTCATGAGTTTATAAACATATATAAAATTCTATAGGCTGTCAGAGAATATGGAATAATATCAAACTGCAGACAAAGGACTTTTTGATGACTAGGCTACAGTAAGTGACCTAAAAATAAAGAAATCATTGTCTACTGCCAAGTAATAACAAAACATAATCCTCACAACTGAAGTCTGCTCCATAGAAAGAATGAGATGGACTGTAGCATCAAGAATGCCAAAATTGGATTCCCTTTGCAAATGTGCTGTGCCTTGAATTACTTGATCATGTATTTATGATTCATTCAGCACTTAGGACGCTTACTAGTTAGTCTGTTAGCTCTGCATCATTTTCTACATCATCCCATCAAATAGTCACAACTTGTGAAGGCTGAAATATGCTTGAAAAAAATCTAAGTGTATGATCAAATCAAGCTTGGGTCAGACTGCAATGACCACCAGGCAGAAATCTGACCTCCCAGGCACCGCACTCCCACTCTACACTCTTATCGGCCGTGCAGACAACATGCTACTTTTCTCTTATCTTTATGGATGTATCAGCTGTCTGTGTCTGTGTTTTAATCAGTTAGTAACTGCCACCTGCCAGAGCCGGACTCAGTAGACAGATCACAAAGAATCCATAGAGTTTGTGCATGCCTGATCTTAAACAGCTGAGGTAACTGTCACGGTCAGGAAGAGTTATGTGGATCAAAACCATGCATAACTCCTGTTCAGAAGTATGCCTGGCAATGCAAAGAAAGAATTACTTTCTTCCAAATTCTGCTAAAGGTCAAAACTCAAGTGAATGTCCAGTTTTAGTAATTTAATCAGGGAGAATGGAGATGAATCACAACAGTCCCATTTGCACACGTAAATGAAATGGGATGGGTTGAGTGCAGCATATGGTTACATTAAAAATATCCAACCCACTTTAGCACTTAGGTCAAGTTATCTGTAAATAGCACATAATGGGCGTGTTTATAATCACTGAAGCTTTGAATTGTTCCAACTAGGTCTTATTTCTGGAGACTCAAAAGCAAACTTAATTGCATTTTTTCAACTAAAAATGGACTTACTCTATTTTCAATTAAAAAGCCAGTATGCTTCAGGTTGGCTGGTCTGTAATCAGGCTACATCCTTTGCATACCAGCCATGGGCACAAAGCCAAAAAGAATGAATTAACACATATCAGATGTGACCATTGCTAATGTTGACTCTGACACCAGAATATCACGCTGCTAATTAACATTGTCACACCTGTGGCTGTAGAGAATAAATATTCTCTGTAGAGAACACTAATCTTGATTTGGTGAAATGCAATCAGTTTATGCCTGTCATGTATTTTGAAAGTCTGGATCAAAGCAATATGTATTATTTATGTATGAAAGTTCTATCATAATATTGTAGACAAATCTGGAGTCTTACCTCATAGTGTCCTTGTTCATGAAAAAGTTTTCCTAAGTTATAAAGACAGCTAGTAACAGAGCTTTTATGAGCATGAGGATCTTTCAGATTTTCATCAGGGATCTCTGAACACTTCAGGAAAGTCCTCCTGGCTTCCTCTGTCTTCCCTTGGTTCATCAGGATGATACCAGTATTTAAATAGGCAGCTGTGCAGAGGGAAAAAATGTTATCTTTTAATGGGGTTCCATTATGCTTTATCTAATCTTTGTTTTACTTCAAAGTAATATCTGAAACAGATCCCATGGTTATCTAACTTGGCTTTTGTGTAATATAGATAAATCACTGTAATACAGATCAATCACTTGTGTAAAGAGGAACATAGATAAAAGTTCAGAGACAATGAAAGGAGAAAGTGGCCACAAAGACTGAGGAAGCAGGGGAGAGAACACTCATTAGGCAGGGTACTCCATTTCGTTCCTCTTCTTAAGACTGTATCAAGCATACAGCGTCATTGTTTGAAATGTTACAAAAATATATCCATATGTTTATAAATATATACATGTATGTGTATATATATACACACATACATAAATGTATATATTTATAAACATATGGATATGTATGTGTGTGTGTGTATATATATACACATACATACATACATACTCTCACCAAGTTTGCCGACAACCCCAAGCTGTGTGGTGTGGTTGACACGCTGGAGGGAAGGGATGCCATCCAGAGGGACCTGGACAGGCTGGAGAGGTGGGCCTGTGCAAACTGCATGAAATTCAACAAGGCCAAGTGCAAGGTCCTGCACGTGGGTTGGCGCAATCCCAAGCACAACTATAGGCTGGGCAAGGAATGGATTGGAAGCAGCCCCAAGGAGAAGGACTTAGGGATATTGATTATGAGTAGCTCAACATGAGCCGGCAGTGTGCGCTTGCAGCCCTGAAAGCCAACTGTGTCCTTAGGTCGAGGGAGTGAATCCTGCCCCTCTACTCTGCTCTTGTGAGACCCCACCTGGAGTACTGCATCCAGCTCTAGGGGCCCCAACATAAGAAGGACATGGAGCTGTTGGAGTGAGTCCAGAGGAGGGACACAAAGATAATCAAAAGGCTGGAGCACTTGTCCTATGGAGACAGGCTGAGAGAGCTGGGGTTGTTCAGCCTGGAGAAGAGAAGGCTCTAGGGAAACCTTAGTACTGCCTTCCAGTACCTGAAGGAGGCCGACAAGAAATCTGGAGAGGGACTGTTTACAAGGGCGTGCTGTGATAGGACGAAAGGTAAGGGCTTTAAACTAAAAGAGGGTAGATTTAGACCAGATATAAGGAAAAAATTCTTCACTGTGAGGGTGGTGAGGCACTGGAAGAGGTTGCCTAGAGCTGTGGATGCCTCCTCCCTGGAAGTGTTCAAGGCCGGGTTGGATGGGGCTTTGGGCAACCTGTCTAGTGGAGGGTGTCCCTGCCCATGGCAGGGGGGTCGGAACTAGATGATCTTTGAGGTCCCTTCCAGCCCAAACCATTCTATGATTTTATATATCTCTCTCTATATATATATAAAAGATTCAATATTTAAGCTACAAAAAAGTCAGCAATTGTAAAAAGCATCCACTTAATTTTGGAACTGATGACTGGCGACATCCTATGGATTACTTCCGATTTCGCCCAGGCAAGAAAGGGAAAATGAAAGGACTTCAAAAATATTTGTATTATTCACCCACACCACATACCATAAAAATCAGGGACTGGCTGTAAGAAACAGAAAACAGGAGCCTAAAAATTTGGGCAGTAGCATGTATGGCTTACTACCCCAGATCAGAAGCATTTTAAGTTCTACTAGTGATGCCCAGTGTTAAATTATTATCTCCTTCTTCCCTGCATCACATTGAATGTAGTTGTTGACTAATAAACACTTTCTACTGAAAAGTGCACAATTTCACCTTTTGGTTTCTGAATTAAAAACTTCTGAAAAAAAAAAGAAAATGTTATTATACAGTAGGAAGATTTCCTTAAAAAACAATAGTCAATATTACGCAAGCTTGTATAGTTGAAATACTTACAAGCTAATGTGGGTCTGCTACCAATTGCCAGTTTATAGTAATGCAACGCCTCTGAAAACCTGCTGTTTTCCTGAAGTAGTAATCCTCTGCATAAGGAAGAAGAAAAAAAAAGGAAGGAAAAAAAAAAAGAGAGAGGGAGGTTACTGTAAAGAGTAACTTCAAAATAATTAATGAAAACAAAGCTAAAGTAACAAAGAAAAATATGCTGACTGGTATTTCAGAGATGTAACAACTGCATGTTACTAACAGTTCAGTGGGAAAATTATTTTGTGTGAAAACGGGATTAATACATAGACACCAGGTGTATCCATACGGCTTTAACAAAGCAGATGATAAATGCAATAGTTTTGGCTTCCTTGGAAACCAGAAGATTCATTTACTCAGTTGAGAAAATGGTAGACTGTGAGACTTTTTAAAGTGGCCGAGTATGGTGGAGCTATATATAACTAGGTCATTCATGTTTAGCCTGTCATCTTTTCTTGACTTGAAATAAGCAAATCTTTTTTAAATGCACAATAAAGTTAACCACCTAACACTGCACATGTATTACCTTAACCAGTCCTTGCTGAGCAATTTCACTAGATTATTCACCACATGGCTAAGCACCTACATCAGTTCAATTTTTTCCTGTCTTTTCTGCCCAAACAAATTTAATAACTGAAGAGGTATCTGAAGAGGTATAAAAATTGATACGGAATACTTCCAGTTCTCAGTTAGTTTCATAGTCCATGAGCTTTAATTAAAGCTTTTAAGACAAGCGTTCTTGTGAATTATAAATTACACCAGCCACCCACAAATTTCTGAGAAATAAGTGGTCTGGACATCGTTGACATGAATTCATAACTGTACGCTTAAATGAATGCTCAAAGCATTACAGTTCCCCAAGTTTTAGGAGACTAAAAAAGGATGTGTAAATGTATTCAAATCACAAAGATTTAAAAATCTTCAAAAAATAGTAATTTTGGAGTGCAGACTCAGACCTTATTATCCAGGGGTAGATGTCCCTCTTCATACACCTCAAAGTATCCATGAAAAAATAAATGTAGCTATTTCTTTTAGGTGGGAGGGTTATCATATCTATTTGTAGCTTCCCTAACCTACAGCAATTTTCTCTTCTTCCTCTATGCTTTTATCTGCTGATAGCTTTTTGAACTAAAAAAGGTTGGACTTTTTCCATATGCAATCTCTAATCAGAGATTTCTTTTCCCTCCAGATTCTCAGGAAAACTTTTTGAATTAAACCAGTAGACTTCAGAGGAAGAAAAGAGTACGGTAGTTAGCTAAAGTAGCAGCCAATGTCTATGTTGTTTGCTTCCTATCGTTGGGTTAGGATTGATCAGAATAGAGGAATATATCCTCTTTTTTTCTATACTATCTCTTCATCAGCACCATGTGGCCTCGCTTTTGAAACTGTCTCTCAACTAACCTCAGATTAGGTAGTAAATCGCTTTTAATATTAACAGAACTTACATTCAGTTGGTACTTGCAGTAATGTGAGCAATAAGGGAAGAGCATTCAAGATACTTTTTGGCACAGCATCAAGGTTTTTAAATACTGTCAAGTGTCTTGCAGGTGGCAAGAGGTATGATCGTCAGGATAGTAATAACATTTTTTAAATTTTCTAGAACCTGAATATTGTTTACTTTAAAAAAAATTATAGACTGCAATTACTCCAAGAAAAATTATTATTATTACAGTATTTTGATCCAGTTTTCTATTGATAGCACTGGAATTAACATAAAAATAAATTAGTTGCATGGTCTGACATTTAAGCTGCTTCTTACTTTTAAAAAAAAAAAACAAACCCAAACCAAAACACTCTTAAACACAATTTTGGGACAAATTTATCAAAGAAATTTCATTCTTACTTTAGTTCTGGAATACATAATTTCACATATTAAGGGAAGTAATACAGTAATTGGTCAACTTGAACAAAATAAACTACTTTGGTAAGTATACGACATTTGTGCTTTTTGGAATAAAAGAACTTTTATTTATAATTATTATCAAACTAATCTTCTGCATTCAGTACATGTCTAGTACTTGAACTCTTGATTAACTGCTTGATATTTTAAGGTGGGGGTGTTTTTCCTACTCTTCCCGAAGACTTTCTTTCTTTTAAAAGTTGTTCCATTAACAGACACACACTCTCGCTCACATGCATACATTTTTATATATATGGGTGTGTATGTGTGTGTATAAATATATATATATGTATATATAAACCCAAGCTGCTCAGATGCAAGATTGAGTGCTGAATTTCAGTAAATAATTAGTGTTTTATTTCTATTTGTTATGAGGTTTGGCAGAAGTAAAACAAGAAAAAAAAAGGATATAATCTAAAAAAAACTTGGTAAGGCATGAAACTGCCTCTTCTGCTTGTGAAATTGGTCCTGGCTGATTACTGGTTTTTCCTATGGCTTTCGACAGTACAAAATTTACTAGATTTATAAGTCTTTAGCTTTAGTTTCAGATTAAACAAAGTCAGGAAAAGGCTTAAAAGAAAGTTAAAAAAATAATATTTTTATCTGAATACAATTAACACTTAGGAGGGTATGCTTCTGAGAGATAATTGGCTTGGATGTTTTCACCTATAAAGGGATAAATATTCAAATAGATAAAAAGTTAAGATGATGAATGTTGCATTAAACTGGCAAAGCATTTCTGAGTTTACAGTGAATATTATAAGAGTTTAAAGAGCAGATATATTTCACTTCCAAGATGAAAAAATCAGATCCTCTCTAGCTTTAAGCTCAAACAAAATGCAGCCATATAAATATGCTCACCAACCTCCACCGAATTACTCACAAGATGCAACTAAAACTAAACCCAAACACTTCAAATTTAGTTACCGCCAAAATTAATACTGCCTGTGAATTGTCCTACTTCTCTTTTTAGAACATGTATTATAATCCTGGTCTCTAACTACATTATTGCTCACTATTACTTCCATAGGTCTACTGTCTCATTCACCACACAGAAAGAATAGGAATGAGCAATAGTTCAATATTTGCTTTTGTATCCAGTTTCTACAAGTAACACACTACCACCTTCTTACAAATATTTACCTTTTGAGCAAAATACAAAATAAGCCCCAAGACCAAATGACAAACTATTGTTTATTTCAAAATTAGTTCAGGAAAACTGCAAGTTCTCAGGTCCTATATTTGTCTTTCTGTTGCTGCATTTCACAGCATCTAAACCATTCCCAAGACAAAAATCATGCTGATTTTCAGCTAGGCATTATGTCTGAGAGGTTCTGAGAAACAGTGCAGTTCAGCCTTGCTACCACATTGCTAAATCACTGGACTTGGTCAGCATAGACAGTAGGGCCGGTGAAGGAACAGCAGCCCAAGTTGGAAAGGCCCTGGGAGCGGAGCAGGGATCTCCTTCTCGAGGCTCTCTGCCGGCTGCTCCACCTATGCTGAGTTCAGGTAGCAAATCCCAGGTTTGTCTCTGAAAGCAGCTGGCCCTGAAAATTGTTCACCATTATCAAGACAAACACGAAGTGAAGAGATAGGCTCAAGTGAGCAATGTCTGAAGGGAATGTGTCCTTCACTACATGGTTGCAAAGAGGTCATTAGAACAAATACTACCAAAACGGTCTGTTCAGCACTTGAAGTTCTTTCCAAAGAAGCTGAAAGGTTGAACTTAGTTACCTTTTCAGTCTGTTAAGTTATATTAACAACTCTTCAACAAGCTTCAATTGGAAGTCTGATTATGTATTCTTTCCTTCTTCTTCAGAAATAGGTGAAGTATGGGTTATTTTGCCACAGAAATGCTTCCTTTTTCATTGCAGTTTCATTTAGAGTCTCTTTCACTTCAGAACGGCAGCCAAACCCACAAGAGGAAAGTTTGATATGCCTCCTATGTCTTATTTTCACATGCTTTAGCATTTAGTATATTCCAGCTAGAGAACTTTCACCAAAGATACTCAAAACTACTTTAAAATCACTAAAAATAAAACTGAAGTGTCTTTATAAAGATACCTTAAGGGCAAAATTTAAAATAAAACTTTTCTATGCTAATTCAACTAGAGAATTGCAAAATGTCCTTCAAGCAAACTGACCATGGTTGTACAGAAAGAAGTTGTGGTGTCATAAGCTGGGAACTAATAGCTGCATAATTACCATAGTCAGCTAAGCTTGCAAGAAATGAGCAAGCTACAGAGTAGGGGAGGTATTCTGACTAGCTACAGAATAGGCGAGCATGGACAAAGGGAGATGAAATGAAACCTATGGGCAGTAATAATGAAAGTCCATGACCTCCTTGAAGTTCTTAACACCTGTTCGTTCAGCTCCATTTTGACAGTCCCAATTCCTTCCTTCCTTCGACAGCCCATTTCCCTCCCACTGATTGCTAGGGTTGAAGTCAGCAATTGGCAATGGCAGATGGAGGTTGTGCTTCCTCATCTACTGGGTCTCAAACCTTTTAGACAAAAATTAGTTCCTTTCCATTCACCTGGAAAGGAGTGATAACGGATTAATGGTGAGTCTGTAAAAAATGGCAAATTCTTTCTAACAAAGGTATGGTGCATGCATATTTCCATCTTTTTTTGGTGGGGAAAAAAAAAAAAAAAGACTAAATATTTAACCAAAACTTTCCAATTTGCCTAGTAAATTTATCTAATAGCACAATCAAACAATTTAAAGTTTGTTTGTCATGCTTATTACTATGCTTTATTACACTGAAGACATCTTTGAAATGTTCAGGGTGCATTTGTAAAGCTCAACAAATACATAGTTCTGAATGATCACTTTTTAGATGCAGAGGAAGAATGCTGGAGAGTCAACGGGCACTGCTTTTTCTCTCCAGCCCACCTCCCAGATGTAAGCCAGATAAATTAAAATGTTAATTGAAACACGTAACTTCTTTTCAAAGAAAGTTTACTGACATAACTGGGAAAATGTGAAGTTTATCAGGTGGAGGAAGGGTGGGGAGGGAAGTCAATGGCTCCTTTAGTCTGGTAAGACAAGTACTGTGGAAGAATAACGTTTCTCTCTAGAAACACATGAGGATGAAAATACTTGGAAAAGAAAAAGCTACTTAAGCCATAGGACACAAAGGAAACAGTTATAAATTGATCA